AGCTTTTGTTTAGTCACAGTCTCCTTTAGTTTTATAGTTTTGGTTCGCAAATTAGTCGGAGCGTCAAGAGAGCCTTTTCAAAAGCACCTAGTCCCGTGTTCTCTGCCATAGTATTCATAATTTCCAGAATTAGACTTGGTAAATTTCCAAACGCGCCGTCGGCATCGTCACCACAGAGTTACAACAAATCAAATTATCTTACATATTATTTTGTCACTTTGATAAGTTGTAACTCTGTGCTGACGATGTTGTCGACCGATGCTGACTGATGATGCCAACTACGATTAAGGCGAAACGTTTGGGAATGTTGGTTCGATACTGGAAATCACGAATGCTATGGCAGAGGACACTGGACTAGGTCCGTTCTACACGGTCACCATGACGCTCCGACCGATTTGCGAAAACCTAACCAATTCACATTTGAATGCATCTCATATAAATGATCTGCTTGTTCTCTAAAAAAACTACGTTTATAACATGAATAAGTTATATGTGCTCGATGGCCATAGCAGACACTACTTTGCTTAGTGTGTCGAGGCATTACGTTTCACTACTCGGGTTTGACTCCCACTAGGGGTGTTGATGAGACCTGGGCGAGGTCGAGCCTCCGGTCAAGATGATAATACCTTTTGGGAGGCAAGGCTAATTGAAATTCAATGTAAACATGAGGTCTACTCATCAAATTGTAGGAAACCTCAACTATCAGTCCTCTCTCACTTTGAACAAAATATAGTGTATATATCTAAAACATACTAATCGGCTCTATCTTACATGCTATATATAGTCGTAAAAAAAATGTAAATATATAGATTCATCGAATAAGATATGTGCCAATTTTGTAGCTCGTAGTCTTGGAAGAAACCAGACATACTTCAAATGAATAAAAACTGGGTTATGATGAATCCCGTAATGATTCAATGCAAAAGTTTTATTTTACCATAATGATACGTTATATGTATTAACCTCAAGATAGTTACATGTCGAAATCAAACGATACACTACCTCTGTTCGATTCCCGTTTGCGATGCTGAAGAGATCCAGTCTTTATGACAATTTCTTTTGGTGAGTAAGGCGCTACTTGTAATAATATGGGAAAATTCAGCTATCAGTCCTTCACCATTTCATGCAAATTAGGATGAATATACTTCGAAAACCTGCTTAATACGAATATGTTTCCTTGTGACTATACTTTTCATGCCGAAGGAAAAGTTGATTTAAAGGGATTCGATTCATGCTTTGGCCCTACTGGAAACTAAAGGAGGCCTATTTTGGTGCAAAGACTGTTTGTTGGATTTTGTGAACAAGTCTCCGTTTCAATATTTGGCGATCCAAATCAACTAGTACTGAAAGTTTGTCCGTTCCATCGAAGCAGAATGAAATAAAACTGGGTTTTAAAGAATGCCATAGTGATTTATTGTCTATTCTTAATTCCATCAATTAAGCAAAGGCATTTTTTACTTAATACCTTATAGATGTTACAGACATTAATTGCATTGCCAAATTTGTTGATTTGTCGATTGGCTTTAGTTTTGTTAACTTATTAGTTTGAATTTGGTTGCAAGAATGGCATCCTTATCTGATGCTGTCCGGCGGTAGATTTTCACCGGAGGCGAAGAAGCTTACTTCAGCAAGTGTGCTCCCATCAAGCCAACCGACAGCTGACCGTCGCCTTTTGATGGGACCTATCTTTATATCTCTTCAACAAACACTTACACTCTAAATGAAGTTGAGCTTAACAATTGTAAAACAAAAGATTTGTCAAAGGCCAACTTCTCCTCGCATATACCAAGTGAAATTCAACGGAACACTGAGGCCTAATCATATGATTGTGGGAAAATTCATCCATCAGTCCGTCTTTACTTATTGCGACCTAGGATTAATGCAACACTTACTGTTCAAGAAGTACTGATTGTCTTTAACTCTACTTACACCAAAAACTGTATTAATCAGTTCTGTTTACAGGTCTCCTACATTTGTGCTTTTACTGGGTATGTTGGATAGCGGAGCATCGCAACACGGAAGTGTTCAAAGGGGTCAAATGTACGTATTCACTTCACAATGAAATGTGAAAATATCCTATTTGCGCTCATGAATGCTTCTGGCTTTGGAAGATGCAGCTTTCATGAAGCTGGTTTAGCATAGCTTTTGGAAAAGCAAGGCTATGTGAAATGCAATGAAAACGTGAGGTCGACTCATCAAATAGTGGGAAAATTCAACCATCAGTCCGTGCTCACTTCATGTGAACCAGAGTGATAGACGAGCACTCTTGCCTTTCAACTAACCTGGCCTTGATCTTTTCCGTCTCCCTGGTCTCTTTTTTCTGCTTCATTCGACGGTTTTGAAACCAAATTTTGATCTGTCTCTCACTCAGACCGAGCTGGGCAGCCAACTCGAGCCTTCGCGGCTGGGCCAGGTAGTTGGAGAAGTGGAACTCCTTCTCCAATTCTACCAACTGCGTGTTCGTGTAAGCAGAACGAGGCCGTTTGCTCGTGGACGCCGACGTCAGAGCCTCGACCTTGACGCGTGCTGAAGTTGTTGGCTCAACAACGCCACTGGACTGAAAAGTTGTGCTGAAACTGACCTCCTCCGAATCCTCACCGTCACGACAACCGTTGGCTTCCTCATGCACTGTCCCA